CGGCAACCAGTCCAAGTGCTAACAAAAAAAGCCCTTGTCCGCAGAGCAGAGGAGGGTCGCCAGGTTCTCCGAGACGCGGGAACCTGCCCCCCGCGGTCGCCTTTCCGCCGCCGGCCCTCGCGGGGCGCCGCCTCTAGTCCCTGAGGGCCGCGCTGGGCCGCGGGGATGCCGGAGCGAGGCGCCCTTCGCCCGAGGCCGCGGTTTCCCCTGGGACCGCGCCGGGGGTCGGGCGCGCATGTTTGTGAGTGTGCTCGGCCGGCCGCGGGTTTGAAAAGTGACTCATTTCACCAGCCTGGCCCACAATCAGTCAGCCGTGCCCGGGGCTGACGCACAGCCTCCGCACGCGCTCCCTGGCGCCGTCGCCCCTGTACTTTCCCTTCTTTATTTGGTGGCAGCGGCGGCAACGGTGGGGCGCGCGGAAGCGCCGGCCACAACCGCGACGAGCAGGTGCAGCGCGGCGGGGCGGGCGGCGCGGAGGCGGTGTCCGGGCCCAGTGACGCCTGCGGGTTCCTGTCCCCCCGGGGAAGCGTCCCTCGGTGTCTCGCTGCGGCTGCCAGAGCGAGGCCGGGAGGTGGACCTGGAGGCTGAGGTCGCCCCGTGGCCGCTCCGACCCCAAGGCTCCCTTCAGCCCTGGAAGCGGAGTGCATGGAGGCAGAGGACCCTCCGCCCGCCCGTCCGCAGCCCCCCGGGCCCCCCAGGGACCGTCAGACGTCAGGACGTGCGGGTGGCCAGGCTGGCTAATGCCACTGAGTGTGGACAAACCCTGCCCGAATGGGCACCCCGCTCCCCAAACCCCCTTCCCGCCAGCTCAGCCCGCGCTTCCCCAGGCTGGTCGCAAGCGCTCCATTCAGTTCCTCCTCCCACTTCCTGCCCCGGGAGCCTGTGCCATAGACTCTCCTCCAAGACCTTCACCCTCAGGGAGGCCCAGCCTTCCCCCCTGTCCTCACTTCTCACCTCCCAGCCCTCACTCACAGATGCTCCTAAGCCGCTGTCCGGCCACTCCACAGTAACCTCTTCTTTTGAAGTTCAGGACATGTCACCATACCCCGGCGTTTCTTCATCCAAATCCCTCCTCCCAGTGTCCAGCAAGGAAACATACCCTGCCCAAGGTTAAAAAGGAACATTTGTAACAAAGTTAGAAGGCTACAGAAAGCAGGAGAGAAAGGCTCTATATATATATCAAATGACGGATTTAAAAAATGGCTTTACACAGCAATAGGGAAGAGCAAAGAACATAAATGTAAAATGAGCAAGGACATAAACAGATCATTTGAATGATTCATTAACGTGTTCAATTTTACTAATAATTATAATAAAACAATAACCATTCTAATGCTTTTTCTTACCTATTAAATTGACAACACTGTTTTGAGATAATTTCAAGCTTACAGAAAAGCAGCAAGAATAGTATAAAGAATTACTATATAATCTTCATCCAGATTCCCCAGCTGTTAACATTTTACCTCATTTGCTTTCTCTCTCTCTCTCCCTCTCTCTCTCTCTCTCTTCCCTTTATTCTTAGAGTTCAGAAGAACTCTGAGATTTTAACGTTTATATGTTGTTTTTTTAAGATGTGTCCTGGTCAGGGCCTTTTCCCCATTCATTTTGTTGCTCATTCAGTGGGCCCTTCAATCTTGAGACTTATCCTTCCATTCTAAGAATTTTTCTTATATTTGTTTACAATTTCCTTCCCTCCATTTTTTTTTTTTTTTTTTTTTGCTGGATGTGGGGCTTTCCTCTGGTTTTCTTATCTTTCATAGTTTCCATATATCATTTTGTACCATTTTCTGAAGTTTTCATCAACTACCTTCTTCCTTTTCTTTTGAATATTTATTTTCAAACATTGTATCTCCAATAGCCAGAAGCCCTTTCTTGTTCTGATTGTTTATTTTGCAGCCTTCTCCTTTCGTGGGCAAGACATCTCCTCTCAGCTCTCTGTGGATATTAACTATGCTACGTTTAACGTTTTTGTTCTAATGTTAGCTCTGTTATGCTCCCCCCCCCATGTTAGAACTTCCCACAAACGTCTGGCGATCCTTGGCTGTCTGTTGAGATTTCATCATGAGGCACAAAAGCTGGTTGATGGTTCTGTGTGCCTGAGAGTGGCGTATCCACGGTGGAGTTTCTGGGAGGTGGCCAGAGAGCCAGCTACTAGTAAATCACTGAGCGGAGATTGAGTACCCAGTGTCTGGACCTGTGACCACCCTGTTTGTTCCAAGGAAGGATTCTTTCCTAACTCACTGCCAGTGCTCTGGGAGCTGGGTGGTGTGAGTAGCCCCACCCATGAGTGTGCAGACATCCTGCACTTTTAACCCCCTTTGCACACGCCCTCGACCTTACTGCCCACAATGACTCTCAAGGGTCACAAGCAACCTGTTTTAACATGAGGAAACATGAGGAGGGTTTCAGTCATGCATCTGCTAGCATGAACTCATATCTGCTAGTTGGCTTTTTCTCTAGCTCTAACCTGATACCAGCTGAATGGAGGAAATGGTAGTCTAATTGGTCAGGATGTGGGGACAGGTGGGCCATTTGTGGTCAAGAGTCCCCCAGCAGGAGAGCAGCCTAGAGAATGGGGAGGGTGCTGTGCTGCAGGTTAGGGCACAGGGACCTGAATGTCACAAGGGAGTGGGAAGATGGAAAAGGAAGTTGACTTACATTTAAATGGTACCCAGAGCCAGGGCTGTAGGTGGACAGCCAGAGTTGACTTGCTCTCTCCCTCCTGCCCTCAAAGGCCCAGCGCCCAGGGACAGTAGGGGCTCAATGGCGCCACGCAGTGAACCTGAGAACCGGGCACCCTGGGAAGATGGTTTCCAGGGAAAACACAAGCTCCAAACAAGTACCTTATAAATGCTCTTTTGGACCAGGTCCTGCTTGCAAACAGAGGCATGATTTGCCTGTAATGGGCCAGCTCCGGTAGTGCCAGGAGGAGGAGGGCCATTAGCAGAAATACAAAGCAAGAAGTCATTCAGTCCATTAGGTTAAAAGAGGATTTTTCTATCTTTTATTATTTATGATTTGTGACTTCGGTTGCTGTTTCCCGGAACAGTTACAGGTTTTCTTTCAACT